AATTCATCTCATAATTGTAGGCCATCTTCCGTATTTTTACGTTTTCATCTGTTCATTTCTACATATTTACTTTTTTGTGTCTGTTAGTCTCCGTGTAACGTAGGTCTTTAAACCTTAAATAAGCATTTTTCATGTAACAATTACTATGCAAAATTGTAATCTTTTTCAATATTTATTTAGTTCGTTGACAATTTTATGCGTCAACAACTGAAAGAAATAGGGTATACACAGGCAAATGAAATTGCGTATTTTCCATTTCAAGCAAGAAATAAGTAGGCCTATAATTATTTATTATGAAAAGCAAACTAAGTTTCAAAATTAAGTTTCAAAATGTGCAGGAAAAACTATGTATAAAGCAATGTACATAATCGGGGTTACAATGAGACATTTGTATATGTGAGATATTAGTTGCTAGTTTTTGGCAATTAACGTAGATCAAGTAGGGGATACTTTTTTTATATTATATCTTTGAAGGTACTGCCATAGGTATATCTAATGTCGTTGCAAAGGAGGCTGTCGGACGCTGTTTTACCAAGAACTACGCCACAGCCAATGGCATCGCACAGACCGGCTCCTCCGTGGGACTGATCGTCTTCGCGCCCCTGGTCCAGCTTTTCTTAGACACCTACGGCTGGAGAGGAACCATGTTACTAGTGGGAGCCATCACCATGCATTCTGTTGCGAGTGGCGCCGTTATGGTAGCAACGAGGCAGCCTGAGCTCGATCAGTCAAACGCATACCAAACGCTCCCCCAGACCGAACACACTAATTCGTCATCAGCACATGAGAGCACTCTCCGTTCTCACTGTGGTTCGCTGTGGAAGTTCGTCTCTAAGAACTTCGAGGTGGGACTACTTCTCAATTCGCGCTACTGGTTGGTGGCCGTCATATCTTGCTGCAATATCTACGCGTACCTCATGTGGATTGTGTATTTCGTGTCCCAAGCGCAGTCCAACGGGTTCACTTTGGAGGAGGCGGGGTCTTTCGTGACCATCGCGGGCGTTGCGAACCTGTTTGGTACAATCAGTCAGGGACCGATCACCGACCGCGGAGTGATGTCCTCGTGGACTCTGGTTGCCGTTTGCCTCGTTATGAGTTCCGTCTCGTACCTTGCCTCCTCTTTGCTGACTTCTTTTTGGCCAATGATGACGTCAGCGGTGCTGATTTTGTTCAGTGACGGGGTCTTGTCCTGCCAGATGGATGTTCTCGTCAAGCAGGTTCTTGGTGTCGAGCTATTGGCGGGTGCTTTTGGCTGGATCGGGCTAAAGGTGACGCTATTATTAGTCGCTTTGGGATTTCTGCCTGGTACGTATAAGCCTAATAAATGAGTGTCGTTTCCTTACGCCACTTTCTTCACTGCATGGAGTAGTCTAGTATGTAGTTTCAACATACAAGTAATAATTATTAGGAAGCACTTTAATTCATGGTGTTACTTGTGTGGCATCACTGGCAATGTGCATCACACCATACAATAGCGTAAAAGATCAACAATGTCAAACCATTCTTCGAGACTTCCCGATTTCAATTTTACCTTCTTTCTGTTTTAAGGTTTGGTTTACGACTTGACCGGAAGTTACACAGCAGCCTTTCTACTGATAGGCAGCGTGCAGGCTGTACCACTGGTGCCTTTGCTGATACTAAGATATTCTCAATAGTAGAACCTTGGAGAGTTTTTTCCATTGGAGGATTTCATAATTGACTGTGAGTCGATCGGAGTTGAAACAGAAGCATAAGGACATAATGTACATTGAACAAGTGTGTTTTGATCAATTAAAGATTAGTTGCACGCAATCCTGGCTTTATGCCTTTTCCTGGCTTTATGCCTTTTCCTGGCTTTATGCCTTTTGGTCTGTGTCTGGTGTTGTTGCGATTTCTATGGGTGTGGCAATCTTGCCATACCTCGTGTGAACAACATTCATCCGAGTATGATAATGCAGCATGGCAGTGGCGCACCCAGGATATGGCTTGGGGGGGGGCCTCCCATTTTTTTTTTCAAATTTTTTAGAAGTAAAATTGTTGTCAAAAAATTTTGCCCACAATTTTTGGCCGCAGAAAAAAATTGGGGTTTTGTTTTTGGGGCGGACTATTTTGACGTTGGTGGCGCCACTTACACCCCTATTATACTACTCGAAAATAGGCCACATTATCACCAAGGTCCAATCGTGGCAAACCTCGTCCCCGGGGTGTCGAGCAGTACGCGCCCACCACTACCTGCTCTCTCACCCTGGTATTGGATCATTTGCATGTGCAAGTTTTTTGAACACGTATGCAAATTAGGAATAGTCTGGCGCCTACTGGGGGGGGGGGACGGGGTCCTCACTCTTTCCAAAGCCATCACCCCAAAATTGGACACTGTTTTTTCAAAATGCTGTATGCACAAAATTCATTCAAATGAAGATCCACAATTACGAGGGAAACATCTGCAGCCAGACGCCTAGCCATCTGTCACATTCACAGCCTTTCAATCATACTAAATATCTATTTGGTTATTAGTTTTAATTTGCTCGATGTAGACCTACATGCATCAACATCACGGGGGGGGGAAATAACTAGAGGTTCGCGTTTGTTGTTACAAACGCAGAGTGGTCGGGTAGACAACTATTTTATGAAACACTGTCCAGTTAACGGGAACATGTAATAGGATTTATATGACTTAAATACATTTAAAACAGCTTTCTTGCCATGTAACTATGAAGTTTCCACCTCCTCGGAAGCAGTAAAAAAGAGAAATTTCAACATTTTAAGTTTCAAAGTTTTTATGCTAATGAAAATTTCCATATTCATGAGCCAAAGCGTGATGTCATTCAAGGTAGAACCGTCTCCATAGCTTTGTGTATACAAATATATATCAAAGTTTTCTTCATTTTCTTGGAGTAAATTCCGCTCTTTATTATTTATCATGTAAAACAGCTTATTTGGACAATCGTAGTGGCAAATATTTCTTCAAAAAATAATGTTGTGGGTAATTTTGAAGGACTTATTTTTGTACTGTTCATAACGCACCTTTGGCAAGGAGTACCTTGTTTGACAAAAGCAAAATAGCGCCCTCTTATATATTGATGAAAGGATTTACTAATAATTTAAAAAATACCACTTTCTTGTCACTTCCAAAGAAAACAAGTATTAAGATCTTGTATGTATTGTTGCAACACATAGTAATGTGCATGAAAACAAGATGAGCTGAATTTCCACTGCATGTTTCCTTTAAGTTATGAACTCTCTCACCCTGGTATTGGATCATTTGCATGTGCAAGATTTTTGAACACGTATGCAAATGAGGAATAGTCTGGCGCCTACACGTGCGTTACATTAGCGTTTGTTTTTGTATGCGGTGTCTGGGGTAAAAACAACATCAATTCGTCGCGCTGTAAGTCATGAAAACACATTTTTTTTTAAAGTTAAAATGTTACGATCTGGCCCGCCAATTTGCAGTATTACATTTCAGGTTAATAAAAGCAAAAGGTTATTGGTTTTAATTAGCTCGATGTAGACCTACATGCATCAACATCACGAGGGGAAAAATAATCACCATTTTTCGTAGTCTGGTTCCCAGACCAAAAGATTCTGACTATTCCTGATGAATCTTAGGTCAGGCAGCCTCCGTGGCTAAAAATAAACATGACGACATTGACAACCTTTTTCGAAGCTCGGCTTCGTTTCCGATTGCGCTTTATCACTTAAAGCTTTTAATGTTCCGTCCGATCAAATTTTTTGAAATAAATCACTTGCTTCATATATCATACAGTTATGATATACAGTTTTATAATTCTGTAAAAAAACATTCACTAATTTTCACCTGGAATCTTCCAAGTTAGACACCCAAATAGCACTGTTCGCAGGCGGAGCCGAATTGAGACCACGCCGAGTTTTGGAAAATGCCAGTAACGGTCGTCAAATTCAAACTAGTACATGACGCAACAAAAAGTTCGCCCTCGTATACGATCCGAGTACAAAATCGTTGTTGAATTTCAAGTTTTCTAATTGAAAGCAATGGATATTAATTATGAACTAGTTTTTTAAGTTTTTAATAAGCAATTAGCAGTTAATAAAACCTATATTATGCTCGGAAATGCTCGGGCACTATCCGATTGTCGACGAAATGAATTCGGCAAACTTCGGACATTTTCGGAAAAAGAGGAATTCCTCCCGTTTTAGTCACGTGACATAAATTGTATTACAATGTATTACCGGAGGCTACCGGACCTAAGATTCATTGGAAATAACAACACCAACTACACGGTAAAAATCCATTACTAGCAAATTGCGGTATCGAATCAGGATACAGGTAGAAAGTTTCCTATCCAGGGCTTACTATTGGAAACGAGGTTGGAAATAAAGTAAGCACTGGGGACGAGGTTGAATAGTGGGACTAAAAGAAAAAAATACAAATAGAAAAAAATTAAACTTACTTACTTTTTTTATCTTAACTATTCCTGCTCCACCTGTTCATATTGTCAATGAATTAAATTCTCTGTTTTTTTAATTTATTTGGGGCGGTAATGACAGGGTTTTTAGTAGAAATCAAATGGTTCAAGATTATAGCGAAGGTGGGCTGCGTATGATAGACGTTAGGGATTATATGTATGCATTGAAAATTACTTGGCTACGCAAACTCCTGGCTGCTGACCAGAATTGTGGTTGGGGTTTTTTTACGCCGTAAGATTATGGGAGTCTCTTCTATGCTCTCTTTCGAAGGAGGTTCTTTGCAATATACCAACAAAGAAACCTTGGAAAAGCACCCCTTTTGGATGGATGTCCTTACATCGTGGTCTAAATTTACCCAAGCTCACATTCCGGTGACTGCTGAAGATGTTCTATTGAATACGCTGTGGCATAATGATCAAATCGAGGTGTGCAAAAAATGCATTTATTACAAGCATTGGGAGTCTGCAGGAGTCAATTACATTTTTGATCTTGTTGACGACAAAGGTACATTTCTGTCATGATTTAATGGTTTTAATTAGCTCGATGTAGACCTACATGCATCAACATCACGGGGGGAAAATAATCACCATTACTTGCTTAGCCCGCCCCTTATGGACCCCAAGTCAAATGAGGGCGCACTATACCGTGCTTCGACAGAGTTGACCGCTGCATTTAATTTCGTAATTATCCCAATAAATGTCTTAAGATAGTTGTCACAAAGTGATACTTGGTTTTTAATCGAAATGACTCTTTAAACTGACAAAACACTAATTTATTTTTAGGGGTCTACAATTTCTGAGTTCGGTTAAACGGAAGTGGTTTAGAGAAACACAATTTATTTTCCTCGGGACCGCCACACCCAACTACATGTATTTCTAGAATTAGTTATTGAACCATCAAAGAATGGGGCAGTCAACTCCAGTAGAGTTGTCATTGGTAAGTGTATTGGTACTTTGCATAAATTTAAGTGTTGAATATTCATTTAGCCAAGTGAATGCATTTATTGAATTCTTGGGCCTTAGTATGTAGCATTGCTGAAATGTTTTTCTCCGGGTTTATAAGCAAAACGAGTTTGGAATGGGGCAGATTTTGAGATGAGATTCCGAGGAGAGGGCAGAGACCAGCCTCGATGATTTTGAGAAATAATTTGTGAGAAATTTTTGATATGGAGAAGCCAAAGGAGAGGGCTCAGCCAGCCTACGGCATTAGTATATTTTAAGCTTGAGCTAGTAAGAGCCAAGCCGCTGAAACCTTGGACAAGCTAGGAATCACCCACATTCCTGTAAGTTTATTGCATTATTTGTTTATTTTACAAACCTTTAAATGGATATTTGGCACATTTGTATGTAGAAAGAAGAAGAATTTGATATACTTTGCTGAGATTTAACAATCAAATATTTGTGTTGTTCATATCAGTAAACTTAAAGGAAAATGTAATTATCGATGAAAAAAGATTGTGTGGATCTGCAAAGAAAATATTCCTGCGATTAGTGCTGATTTATAACAGTTGTGGTTATTGAGACATTGGGAAATGTTATCATTGTAAACTATTTGTTGGCTAGAATCCACCTAGTAGGAGTATAATTTGGATTGTAATTTCAGAGCTTTTGGGGGTTGAGAATAGTGCAACCTTTGACCAGAGGACCAGAAGCGACAGGGCAGGACCGCAGCGGCGGACAAGTTACGGACCATCACAGGCGCTACTGATCATACCCCAAGATCCCAAGATCAAGATACACCGGGACGGACGCATCGAGTATTAATGATTGTATAAATTGTCGATAATTATTTTGGGGATTTTGAAGAAGAGACCAAACCTTTGCGTTGAAACGTTGAAATATAAATAAATTGTACATAATATAAATATAAGGAAAAGTGCGTCACACCCTTATTTTATTTCTGAATGCCATTGGTCAGTTAAATTATCAGGGGACTACTGAAGGTCCTGCGAAAGGAGCAGTGGAGAGGAAAATATTTTGAGAGTTGATCAAAGGATGGAACATCATCAACAAAACATCGAGAGGCAAAAAAACAAAAACAAACAAACAAACAAACAGGTATAGGACACAGTGAAAATTCTGTTTGGCTATGTACGTTTTGGGCACACTAATAAAGTCTGTAGTACATTGGAAAGTGCTATAATCAAATTGTCATCATATTAAATTAAGTTGTGACCAAACTCTATTGATTCAGCAACATTATAAAAGAATATTGAATCACCGATGAAGTAATAATGATCGTACGAAGCCCGGAAAGGGACAGGGTGGAAATGTTTTTTGTAATTTGCAAATTCGTTCCCACGAGTTGCTAACTCGTTCCCACGAATTACTATTTCGTTCGCACGAATTACTAATTCGTTCCCACGAATTGCTAATTCGTTCGCATGAATTGCTAAATCGTTCGCACGAGTTGCTATCTCGTTCCCACGATTTTCAAATTCGTGGGAACGAATTGATGACTCGTGGATCCGGAAACGCATAGTAATTCGTGGGAACGAGTTGGTAATTCGTGGGAACGAATTAGCAATTCGTGCAAACGAATTAGCAATTCGTGCAAACGAATTAGCAATTCGTGCGAACGAATTAGCAATTCGTGCGAACGAATTAGCAATTCGTGCGAACGAATTAGCAATTCGTGCGAACGAATTAGCAATTCGTGCGAACGAATTAGCAATTCGTGCGAACGAATTAGAAATTCGTGCGAACGAATTAGCAAATAATAATAACCAATTTAGTCATTTACCATTCAATCGAATTCGTCTCATGTAAATCAATTAGCCTAATTTGATTTCTGAATTACAAGGTTTGACGCAGACGAGACGAAATCAAATACTCCGGGACGAAAACGAGTGCAATGGTTTTTTTTTGTCCAATTTTTGTGAAATTTCATGTTGAAATTTTGATACGCAAACGTGTGCAAATGAATCTGGAAATTTCACAAAAAATAGACATCTGAAAAAGGCAGCACTTTCTGATTAGCCTATAAAGAGGGTGAGTGTGCTTGTAAAGCAAAAAAAAGTACAAACTAAGCCTAAATGTGAAAATCAAAATTTGACACGTTTTTGTACATGTGGAAGTGTGGCCTATGTTTACGGAGGTAGTCCAGTAAATTGGCCACATTTATGGGGCTAGGCCTAGGCCTACTGAGCGCTAGTTGCAGGCCTATTCAGTGACATGTGTATCAATACATGCAGCCTCAATAGCGAATATCAGGAAATACTAACCACCTATTGTCGAATTACATTGAAATATCTTGGAAACCTCTGGTCAAAAACATGCCGGAGTCACGTCACGGCCGGATGCACACACAAACAACTCTCACTGTAAGAGCCAGAGTACGGAAGCTTGAATTGCCTTCCGCGATACCGCGTTACCGTGATAATTTATCGCAGAAATCCGGAATTCAAAGAAAATCCATTCCTCGATACCGCGTTACCGTGATAATTTATCACAGAAATCCGGAATTCAAAGATAATTCCTTCCTCGATACCGCGTTACCGTGATAATTTATCACAGAAATCCGGAATTCAGAGATACCTTTTCCTCGATACCGCGTTACCGTGATAATTTATCACAGAAATCCGGAATTCAAAGATAATTCCTTCCTCGATACCGCGTTACGGTGATAATTTATCACAGAAATCCGGAATTCAGAGATACCTTTTCCTCGATACCGCGTTACCGTGATAATTTATCACAGAAATCCGGAATTCAAAGATAATTCCTTCCGCGGTATCGAGGAAGGATTTATCTCTTCATCTATACTTTCACTGGTATCGTATCTTTTGATGCACGAACTTTAACCAGCAGCCGAAAAATGTGGCAATTCATGGCTTTCCCTAAGATTTCAGGCAAAAAATGAAAATCCTTTGGATGTAGTCCAAGTTATTTTTTAATTAGAAAGCCCAACAGACGTGCTGGTTGCCGTTCGCCGCAACGGCATCATGTACATGTAAATGTATCAGTGACCCTAGAAAAGTTAACCAATCACAATATCACGCACTCTCCTTGACATGGATATTTATCACACAGTGTCGAAGACACATTTATTTTCCCTTACACATATTTCCCTTATATTAACAATTATCCCAACGATTAAATTGGAGAACACCGTACTAGTTGATGAAAAATGGGCATATAGGTGGATTTCGAACCAGAAATCTTGCGATCCATAGTTCACATCATCTCAGTATCCACGAGGCTCTGGAAGCTCAACGAGCCGTTCTTTGTATAATATGTAACTACAATGTAATTGACTATAAGTATAGGCTTTCCCGGCTATTTTAAAATAGCTTTTATTCAAATTCACAAACTCTAACAATCAATTTCGCCCGAGAAAAATTTCACACGCTTTTAACAAAACCAAAAGTCATTTACCATTCAATTTCAAAGTTTGGTCACCCTCCTTGAGTCGCCGGGTCGAAAATATTCGTCATTACAGATCAAATTCATCTGAGCTGTTGCCGAATGTGCAGCATTTACAGATCGAATTCGTCTTAAATTAATTTGACGAATTTGATTTCTGAATAACAAGGTTTGGCGTAGACGAGACGAAAATGAATACTCCGGGACGAAAACGTGTGCTCAATATTGTTTGAATTTGCTTGAACTGAATTTAAAATTGTCTGGCAAAAGACAAAATTCAACATTGGAAGTGCACTAAATCGATGTTGGTGGATAAATTTGACTATTAGAAACGGTGAATTCGAATGATAAACGTTTTAAAGTAGCCGGGAAAACCTATAATAACAATATTGTGACGTCATTGTTGCTTTCTCATGAATAAACATAACTATCCCATAGAAATTACTGAATAATCATGACCCCTTCGGTAGATATCGTCAATGGTCAGTAGTTTGGATGGGGAGGTTATGTTTATTCAAGAGAAAAGAACAACGACGGCACACCCTGATGTTAGTCAACTATCTTAAGACATTTACTGGGATAATTACGAAATTAAATGCAGCGGTCAACTCTGTCGATCTCGAAGCGCGGTATAGTGCGCCCTCATTTGACTTGGGGTCACTCATGAACATAAGGGGCGGGCTTAGCAAGTAATGGTGATTATTTTTTTCCCCCGTGATGTTGATGCATGTAGGTCTACATCGAGCTAATTAAAACTAATAACCAAATAGATAATTAGTATGATTTAAAGGCTGTGAAGGTGACAGATGGCTAGGCGTCTGGCTGCAGATGTTTCCCTCGTAATTGTGGATCTTCGTTTGAATGAATTTTGTGCACACAGGATTTTCAAAAAAACAGTGCCCCAATTTGGGGCGATGGCTTCAGAAAGAGTGAGGGCCCCGTCTCCCCCCCCCCCCCCAAGAAATCCCTCTAGTCCGAAAGGGCGGCTTTTTAAAAGGTCACGAAAATTAAGAGAAAGTGAAGATCAAGATGCCTCAAAGTTTTATATGCGACCGATAGGCATTCGGGCTATTTCGCAAACATGTATTATCTTCAAATCAGCAACGGCTTGTTTCATACACTTTTTTTCAAAACAAATACAGGCAAAAGTACGGAAACACTCAACATCCTAGTAATCTATCGATGATGATCTACCACCGGGATATATAGATGAATGATTTGTTATGGGTATGGTGTATTTTCATATATGGTTGCATCGGCAGACAAAGGCGTCGCCTGCACCGTCGCGCAAACGTGCGATGCGCTTGGCAGCAATAGGATCTTCTAGACGAAATTATATAGCGCCTACTGTTTAAGTTAGTACTGTACTTGCTAAGGCCAGATTGAAAATACAATACATTCAATGATGAGGATGAGATTGCAAGTGATGATAATGCATTCCAGTCCTTGAAGGTTGGAGGGGGAGTCCTTGAAGGTTGGAGTGTCGCACCCAAGGGGCGGGGGGGGGGGGGGCTCGGGGGGATTGAGCCCCCCCCCCCAAAAAAAAGGTTGTCAATTTTTAATTTTTTTCTATTTGTATTATTTTTTTTTTAGTCCCACTATTCAACCTCGTCCCCAGCGCTTACTTTATTTCCAACCTCGTTTCCAATAGTAAGCCCTGGATAGGAAACCTTCTCCCTGTATCCTGATTCGATACCGCAATTTGCTAGTAATGGATTTTTACCGTGTAGTTGGTGTTGTTATTTCCATGTGCATTACGTTTTTTCACGACCATTGTTATTAAGACATCCACGCCTTCTCAAAAATACTCCTTTCCTTTCAAGTTTGCTTTTATTAACCTGAAATGTAATACTGCAAATTGACAGGCCAGATGGTAACATTTTAACTTTAAAAAGAAAATGTGTTTTCATGACTTACGGTGCGACGAATTGATGTTGTTTTAAACCCCAGACACCGCATACAAAAACAAACGCTAATGTAACGCACGTGTAGGCGCCAGACTATTCCTCATTTGCATTCATTTGCATACGTGTTCAAAAATCTTGCACATGCAAATGATCCAATACCAGGGTGAGAGAGCAGGTATTCTTACATCAAAATATTCATAACTTAAAGGAAACATGCAGTGGAAATTTAGCTCATCTTGTTTTCATGCACATTACTATGTGTTGCAACACTACACACAAGATCTTAATACTTGTTTTCATTGGAAGTGACAAGAAAGTGGTAGTTTTTAAATTATTAGTAAATCCTTTCATCAATATATAAGAGGGCGCTATTTTGCTTTTGTCACACAAGGTACTCCTTGCCAAAGGTGCGTTATGAACAGTACAAGAATTAGTCCTTCAAAATTACGCACAAAAAAATTTTTGAAGAAATATTTGCCACTTCGATTGTCCAAATAAGCTGTTTTACATGATAAACAATAAAAAGTTGAATTTACTCCAAGAAAATGAAGAAAACTTTGATATATATTTGTATACACAAAGCTATGGAGACACTACG